GTCAATACCGGGCGACAAAGCATCAATTCAAGATGTCCTTCATTTCATCCACCGTTGTCAGCAAAAGTGTTAATCGATTTGACAGTCGACTTTTTGAGTTCTTAGATTATGATACAATCTTGAAGGATTTCATAAGTACAAGTTTTTTGATCGGTGAGTTTCCATTTATCTATATAGATAGTTTATTACATTTATATACGTATTCATCTGACATCATTTTTCAAAATACCAGATGTTATTAGACGAGTTGAAAGTGTACGTGAACTTGAAACAAGCAAGCTTGAGTTCGACTTGTGTAATGCGAAGTGAGTATATACGGTTAACGTTTTTTATCCTTTTAAATATTTACTCTAGTCTAATTGAACCGTATTATATATAGAGAGGAGCGATTACCATGCACACTTTGGGGTAAATTTGGCGAGCAAGTCTATTCGGCTTGTTAGAATGCTGGCAAACATGGTGTCATCATTGTAATCCGTTTTGGAAAAATCAATGTGTTTAGAGGTAAAAATATTTAATTATAAAATTGTTGTTTCAACATAAAATAAAATGCATTTTGATTATTTGTTTAAATTATCATAGGTGAACGTCAAATTAGCAGTTCGTTCTAAACCTCTAAGGTGCTCACAGATCTTAACGATCCAGATGTCATTGATTTCAAAAATATGTAAACAATTTATTTATATATCACACACATATTTTGACAATGTGGTTATTAATAAAAATTGTTTTCCAATATGAAGTTTACCTGCAAATGGCGGAAATATTACGTCTTGAGTAGCAAGCCACATCAGAGGATTTCTTATGATAATGAAAGTAATTTTGATCAGTTTCCAATTGTGACTATTGCTGAACTGCTTGATTATCTGGAGGTATATAACAAAGTTGTCATAACTTTATTATATGTTGATAAAATGAGATGTCTTTGGGAAATGATTTTTTAATATAAAACTAATAACATAAAATACTTAAAGCGTATAAAATCTTATATATGGTATCGACGAAATTAAAGATATAACTCAAACTTTAACTTTTATGTGTTAATTTATCAATAGTGTTTATGCAATTATGGTGACTGTTCTATTGTTAAATATTCAGGTTGGAAAATGTAAAATCATGTGTACTGTATACGCTACAGATTGGTCATGGTTTTACTTGGTTTGCACTAAGTGTGGGAAAAAGGTCTACAAAATCTCAAAATGCGAAGACGATAAATTTTGTGATAAATCTAAGAAACTTTATTCATGTGAAACATGTGATGCCAAAGTTTCATATGTCAGTGCGAATTAACTAAATTTTATAAATTAACTAAATAACAAATTGTTTGCCAAAAACATATAATCACATGTTTACATTTAAATTATATTGTAGATACAAACTCCATCTTTGTGTAATGGACAACACGAGCAAGATCAAAAGTTTTCTTTTTGATTCAAATGCAAATGATATTGTTAACCAATCTGCTAATGAAATTTTAAAAGGGACATACGATGAGATATTATACACTTTATATATTTTATTTTAATGAGTTTATATTAAAAAATTATTTCCCAAATACTTGTTATTTTTCAACATAGATACAAGATCCGGATGTCGTTCCTGATGCACTGCAAACTTGGTTGGGAAGATTTTTCAGTTTCTAATTTGTGTTGAGAAAGAAAATCTCTACGCTGGTAGTAATACATACAAGGTCGGAAAGGTTTGGAAAGGCAATCAGGTTTTGACTACCACCGTTGATGAGGTGAATGAATCTGAAGATGGGGGTGATCAGAGTTTAGTCATGTCTGCCGATCAGGTAAAATTCA